GCTGCCGCCCAACGACCTCGCGCATCCTTGATGCCTTCGGCCACCATATCCACCAGCGCTGACTCTTCAGGCGTCTGCCCCCAAAGATTTCCTTTCATGGCCACATAGCGCAGCATGGCCTGTGAAGGAAGAAAAGCAGCCAGGTGCATTGTTTGCGGTCTCTTTCATGAAACATGTGGTGGTCAAAAAGAAGAGCTCCGCTACGCTACACGTGGACTGCGAAGACTTCCGCCACCATCAATGCCTGGGACTGCACCAGTTTCAAACCATCAATCTCCAGCAAGGGCAGCCTTGGTACGGTCTAGGTCTAGGATGGAGAATCCAAGACTCTTGATGAATATAACCACGTCCATATGAAGAGGTTTTCATCATCCAAACGTGGGGGGCAGGTGATTACAGTCTCAAATCCCGCTTTTCCTCAGCTCAAATACAAGCTTGGTCCGACGGTCGGGGGATGTTGGTGAAGCCTAGGTGGCTAATGATGGGATGCAAAGACAAACATTTAGCATACACTCAGACTCAGCTGAAGTACTCATGGTTACGTCGATGGCATGGCCTCCTGTAAAGCCTTGAATTTATCCCAACACAAAATCAGCTTCCCTAACAACTGTAAAGCCTCGAAAGGATGACCATGTTCCGATGGTGCCACCCACTTCCATGATAGTAAGCCGGAGTGTATCTTTAGCAGTGCTGGATGCAACTTAGTCAACTGGCCACCCACCTGTGCTAAGGAAAGTTCGTCTATGCACGGGAAAGACGAAGGCTTGAGGGCCAAGTGCAAGAGCGAAAGCACAAGAGGAGAGGGTTTCAACCAGAGTCTGGCTGGAAACCAATGGCGGCCCGATGGCTCTCGTTCATGGTGGGGACTCCCATCCAACTCAGAACTGCAGACTTGGAGCTGTCCAAAAAGAAGCTTTCCATCCGAGCGCATCTGCAGGAACTCCTTGAGAAGTCGGCTTTTGGTCTCCAGCAGCTCTCCACAGGTTCTGAAAGGCATGCGTCTTATGTGGAACTATGATGGACTATGTAAAACGTCAGACCCAAGACCATTCGGCATGATTCCATGCAATAGTAAAAAAATGTTACAACTATTTGTATTTCAAAACATAAATCCGATACACCTACTTGGCCGACGTCAGGAGAAGTGAACATATGCCACAATGGTATACAATGGTCATGTAGTAGGGTCCATGTATAACCTATAGGACCTAGGTTTGACAATTTGACACAACCACATGCACTGTGGTGGATGGATCTGCGGATTCTCTTGCCTCTTCCCCAAGGTGCACCTTGACTTGACCACGTCTTCAAGAACACTCACTGTGTCAAACAAGTTCTTCATTAATCAAAAACCAACGTTTGTCGCAGCACGGATCGCAGCACGTCCTCATGGCTTTGCAGCGCTACCTGTGGTAGAGCAGAAACCGGCGGAACACTCTCCGAACAAAGACCCCCACAGATTGCGGGAAATCGCCTGGGAGAAGAAATCCCCAGAGACTCCACGGTGTTTGCCCACATTGGGGTGGTTTGGGTCCACCAGTTGCATGGAGTGTCTGGGATTGGAATGTCAGATTTGGTGACCCTCCTGATTCCGCACTTCGAACAGTTTCAGTCTTTGGCCGCATAGGCCCAAAGCAGCGAGAAAGAGCGACCCAAAAAGTGGCCCGGCCTACAAGGCAAAATGATGTGACCAGCTGAGCCAGTTCCAAGCACTCCTTGGAATTCAGGGACTGGGGGCCTCCCGAAGCCGCTGTCAAAGGCGCCTGGGAGGAGCGCCTAGTTCTCTCAACTCCTTTCACTCCAACACCTCCCCCGGCCTGCTCAAAGGGGATGCCCGCGGCCGCCATGATCCATCGTGTCTGCTCCGCCAGGCCATAGCCCGCAAAGTACGTCAGCCGCGCGGACGAGCGGTCCGGCGCCTGGACGGACCGTGCCGCCGGGCCCGGTGGAGGCGGTCCGGAACCAGGTCTTCGGGCTTCCAAGAGACACCGACCGAAGACCTGGTTTCTTTCAGAGGAGAAAAGGGTGAAGGTCCGGTATCATTGACCTGAACAACAAACACATTTACCTTCCTGGACGACGTGCAGACCATGTTCCACCAACCAACCACGTCAGTGTCATCCCAAAAGAAAGCAAGAGGGCACTTGCAACTATCAGGGGCGACCGTATGATGATCAAACAACAACAAACACCTCTGAGGTTTGGATTGCCCATATCCAACTAAATCTCCTTGGACATGCCAACAACCATCCAACAACCCTATCAGAGATCATTGTTCAGAACCCAGTCAATGTCACATATAGTCTTATAGTATCTGTCCTCGGTGTGCGGAAAAAAGAACCTAATTATATAATAGACCGACCGACCCTGTTTTTCGGGACCTCCTCTTCTTCCTTCCCTTCGACTTCGCCTTTGGCTCCACGGCCATGGCTCTCCGTCGCACGAGGCTCGGCCCTGCGCCGCCCGTCGCCTCGGGAGGCCGACGAGAGACGAGATCTCAAAGGGCCACAGCCAGCCGAAGCTGAGAGGCCTGGGAGAAGAAAAGAAAAACTAATCCATTATGATCTATTATGTTATTGAACATGTTGGAACAAAAAACGTAAATTAATCAATAATGTTAAATAAATACAGTAAATAAATAAACACGTATAAACACGTATAACATACGATAAAATTTGTTTTCTTTAATGGAACAGGAGAGTAAAAAAGTAGTCCTACCAGGACCATCCGACCATCTGGGTGTCCTGGCTGGACTCCCCTGCACGAGCATCGGGGATCTAAGACAGGAGATCGTCCAGACAGGATCGTCCAGGTAGGACGACCAAAACCTCAAAGATTCTGAAACTTCCTTCTGAGCCTACTCTAAAGTCACTAGCATAGGATCTTAGATTAATGCATGTATATATGATTTGGTACTGACAAATGACCAGTCCGGCTGTGAGCCATCGGTCGCACAGCCCAAGGCACCTGCGAAGTGCCCAGGAAGTCCTTTGCCAAAGGTGTGTATCCAATGACCAGCCTAAATCACGCTGCTCCAAAAGACTGTGAGAGAGAGAGAGAGTGAAACTCCATGTATTGCGTGTGTGTGTGTGTGTGTGTGTGTGAAGGGAACATGCCCAATGCCCTATGGAATCTATGCCACCCCAGTTGACCCCTCGTTTCAAACACCTCAATGTAAGCAGGCAAATGTGCCAGTCCCATGGAGTGTCTGGGAACCAAGAACAAGGTCTTTTTGGTAATTTCCACGTTGGCGTGGCATTGAACGGAGTTGCACAAAAGGGGAACCCCCCATGAAACCCCTCACGATTGGGGATTGACCACCCCTTGCACCTTGGGATCGAAGGTCTTGCGACTTTTGCTTGCAAGATTCTCCCCTGCTCCTGAAGACAATCCGCCTCCATCTGCCGAGGTCCCCGCCAGAGCAAGGAAGCCCGGACAAAACAGATGGGACTCCAGAAAGGAAGAAACATGAGAACGACTCAAGTCAAGACACCGTCTCGACCTCCACGTCAACGGGCGAAAGGGGTCGACATTGACCGCGCGCCACACCTTTGGGGTCATTACTTGACGAAAGAACCTCAGTGTCCACATTCTCCATAACCCTGTTGATATCAAACCAAATGACCAAGACACTCAAGCGACCCTTCAGTCAAAACCACGATTCTCTCTGAGTAGGCTGGAAAAGGGCCAGTCAATAACACACCTCTCAATGCCCTGTCAACTAGAAGCAAGCATGCTCTCCCTGCTACACGGTGCTGCAGGGAAAGGATCCTCTTAGTGGTTTATATAATCTCCCTCCCTGGTTCTGCCACTTGCCAAATGCAGAAGCACCATTGATTGCACTTGGCAGGATTAACTTATGGCACCCACTCTTTCAGTATGACATGCCAAGGAACAAGGACAACAGGAGCCACCGCCTCTGCATGAACGGCCCAGTGGACCGACAAGCTGCAGAAAATCAAGTGGTGTTTGTTCAGTGGAGTACAAAATTCAACATATCAACCGGATTATCCGTTCTTCCTTTAGATCGAAGAAACGATTCACCAGGTGTCGGTCATTTCCAAACATGTATTCATGTCCTGTTCATTCACCTGCAAAGGTTGTTGATTGTATGATCCAATCGGGCCAAATGTGTGTCTTCTGTCATGTTCATCTATCTGTGTTTTCAGTGTTGGTGTGCGTTCAGTGAGTTGCTCAAATGCTTCACACGCAAAAATGGCAGATCGCTGCAACCTCCGCGGCGAGTATCATGCAGTGAAGGACCCCCGGAGAACTTGCGAATCAGGAAACCTCCGGCAGCGAATTTACGTTAAAACCGGTCTCTGCAAGAATCATGGATTCAAGGAACATGCTTTGGCAGGGAGTCATCCTGGAAGTCACAAGAAGGTGCCAGGTCAAAATATCCAGTTCAACGGCAGTTTTCATCCAAGCATGTAGAGAAGGTGATTGACTCCCCCAAAGCAAAAACACTGAAAACATACTAAAATAACCATTGGCTGCAAACAATCATAAACAATCCCTTGTACACCCGGCGCATCAGTGAAGCAAGAGAAAACATATACATTTATATATGAGTATAAGACAGTATATGAGTATATATGAGTCCAGGTCGGTCACACGTGCAAGTGTCTCTTTGGTCTGGCTGTTCTGTGGTCATCTGAGTCTATTTGGACAAGGAAAATGGCCTTTTCCGGTGAATTTTCCTGTCTGATAGTCGCAGTTCGGCAGGTCCTGTAGTGATCGAGAATCAATCACAATCAATCGTTTGTACTTACCGAAACAAGCATGTTTAGCTAGAACACATTCAAACAGCTTCAAACAGAACTCCAACCTAAACGCTTGTAAAAACTCTTGGCACAAATCCTTAACACATCTCAACACACGGTGGCTCCCCAAAACGCTGTAACATATTGTATAATACATCTCACATCATCTCGCCCCTCTTCGTTTCGGCTCTGCTCTCACTGCATCTCATCGGCCCCACATCTCGGCTGCCGGGCGCTTTGGATGTCCACCATGGCTGGGAGGTGTTCATCGTGTGTCCTGCCGGGCTTGGCGAACATCCGGCCGGCGAAGGAGCCCGGGAAGTCCGATGGAGTCTTCCCCCTCTGCGCAAGGAACAAGAAGCTACGAACGGGGCTCCTGGCCTTACTACGAAGGGAGCGATCGGACGGCTACTAGTAGGGGCTCCTGGCATCGCGACACGAGTCCGGAGCATTCTTACGTAACGTAACGTCACAAGAAGCTACGAACGGACCTCCAAAATGGGTGCTTACAGGTGACACTTCTGACTCTTTCCGGACCGCCCGCCTTAGGGGAGGGCTCTGCAAGGAACCGAGGAAGAGCAAGGCGCCCTGGCGACCTTGGGCTGGGAGCGGCTGCGACGTGGACAGCTGCAAGTTGCAATGATTCGTGCCAACAGCCTGGGCTTGACAAGGCATTAAGTAGATTAGTGAACAAATGATGGCTTGAAATAATGAATTCAGACAATATTTGCCTACTTTGATCACGGATGTTCAATCCAATTGCCTGCTTCGATGGATGATTCATGACCGACATCGCGCCTGACCATGAAACCCACCGGCGCAACTCCCCAAACTCTCTTCTACTCTAAGGAGCAAAGCCACCTCCCCCAATCTAAGGAGTCTGTGATGAACCAGGCCCTAGATGGTGTGGGCTGGGGGAGGAAATTCGTAGAAACATGTAGAAACATCATGAAAACAATCAAACCTACTGCACCACAGAAGGGTTTGGAAGCTGTGGTATTCACCACGTGCACCAACAGCATTCAAGAAATTGCAAGAAGTCCTCTCAATCAGCAGCGAAATGTACAAGACATGGGACTCACCCACCCGTGGCCATGATCTACAACCCTTGTACTCAGCTTGTGGATCATTGTCCTATGAGTCGGGGGTCAAAAGGCCCACCAGCCTCCAACCACTGAAGGACTGAAGACGTAGGACTGTCTGTCTTTGTGTCACACATCACACAGTTGCAAAGGGCGCACAGCCTGTGGCCGGGTAAGTTGCACCTAGCTGACTAATTATAGGCCTTAGCAAGATCAGGTTGGGTGTGTTCCCCAGCCATAAAAGAATCCGTCTTGAGTGATATTATATATATATTGATATATATAATATAATATATAGTATTGCTGAAGATCTTGTTGTAAGCCTTGCAAGGCCAAACCCAGGCCTCCAGGCTATGTATATTTTCACCGCCGGCGTTTAGGCCCTCCACAAAACTTAAGATGGCCAATAGCACCAAACAGTGGTGATCGGCCTTCACGGCAAGCAAGTGGGCAACCAAAGGAAGCTGTGCGGGCGTCACTGCTGTGAGACCCGGAATGCCACTGCCACCGCAGCACTCCAATTGCAACCAGCCCCTGCCAGTGTTCTTCAGTGCAGAAAACCGGCCCTCTGCCGGTCGGGTGACTGTAGCATTGAGTATACGTGGCTCTCTGACAGTTCTCAGCTATGCTGATGATTCGAAGTTCCGAGCATGATTATGCGCACGGCGTTGGGCCGATAGTCCCCTGGATCTTGTCAGCACGAAGGTTCCCGCCTCCTGAGATTGTGCACATCAGATGCATCACTCATCTTTCCTATTCCATTGTGCATGGAGAATTTCTCCCAGGTACAAAGGAATCGGAAAGATCCTCGTGGGCTGTTCGTCGGGGAGAGGGCTAACCTTGCTGATCCACTTGCTGTTCCTTGCCAAAAGCTCCACGCCTCACAAAGCCAAATCGAATCGTGGACATCAGAAGTTGCAGCTCATCACATACAACTCGCCGCTGACGTGGCAAGGTGTTTGGCCTTCTTGGTCGATGACACATGAGCCATTCTTTGCCAACAAACAATGGTGGTTGAAGGGCTGCAGGATCCTGTTGTCAATGTCTAGGTTGGATGTCTGAAACAATCGCATTTTTATGCATGTTTGATAAGATGTGGATGACATTGAATAACTCTCCTTCCCGTCACCTGCCTCCTCCTCCTCCTCCTCCTCCTCCTGTTCCTTGCCCTCCACCGTAGGTGCCTCCGTTTGGACATTACCACAGCATCTGATCTGTTGCAGAACGACCACTGCCAGCAAACCACCGAAGGTAATCAACGGGAGCTAACTTGGCGCCAGGGTCCCCGCAGGGGTGGCCTGGTTCCGTCGTCCACGGAGACGCACGGTGGAGCAAGACGTCTAGCGTGGGGATCTGACCACATTTTGCTGATAATATCCTTATGTATCCTGATATCAAGCAACGATCCCCCAAACACCTGCATTCTTTACGGAACTTTGGTCTCTCAACACAAATTATCACGAATCACGTTTGAAGACCATTGTGTTTGAAACATCTTCTTTCCAAACCGCAGCCGAGCTGCCCCATCCAGAGAGGGCGACATGCAAATGAACCCCTCGAAGACCAAAGACTCCGACAGCGGAAAAACGAAGCATTGCCCATCGCTTGGTTCAGAAGGCGCGGTTGAAACGCTTTCTTTCCGTGCGCCATCCACAGTCATGGGCTGGGGGACCAGTTTTTCCAAAAAAAAATACATGTTGCCGTCTCCTTATTCAACAGGACTTGTAGAAATTTCTACTACACCTCTTGCCACGAACGTTCTTTCGTGGAGCTCTTCGTCTCACGAGCTCGACCCCGAAGCTCCGTGACTGTGCTGCTCGACGACTGTGCTGATGCGTGGTGTTTTTGCCTGTTCAAGGCTGCCTTGTTAGTGTTAAAAGGTCGACCAGACAGGTTTTTTGTGTGAGAGGTGACCGGGTAGTTGAAGGATCTCCCTGTTACCAGCAGTTCGATTCTTGTTCAACAGTGTGGCGGTGCTACACCTTCTACTGGAAGAATCTAGGTGCCACAATTCCCAAATGGACTGGGAGTGAAAGGCAACAAGCAGCTCCTATGATTAAAGAACAAAAAAACTTTAACAAAACAACAGGACCAACCTTTTCGTTGGACCGACCTGACCAACCTAACGGCTCGCTCAGACCTGACATCCAAGCAAGGACGTCGCTCTAAGGGGGGGTCGGACGACTCAGACGAGGACCGGTGGGTCTGAGACCGGTACATCCAGGTCTACGCAGTACATCTCTGCAACTTTTGGCCCCAAAAATTGGGACTGGCCAAGCTCTCCTGGTTCAAAACACAAACGTGACAAGAGCATCATCTGCTGTGCGGAATCGCGATGCCGAAAGATCGCAAATAGATCAGTCAGTGTCTGGCCGATCCATTCTCCCGAAAATCACAGTCCAGTCAAGAAGAAACTTCTTAGCATGCACCGATATATACTGGCACACATCAACACTGACAGCAACACAATGTAAAACCTGAGGGGAGGTGAAACATGGTCAGTATTCATCGCAATTGTGCAAAGCACTTTACAAGTGGGGTAGTAACACTCAGGGTTCTTCGGATGCATCTTCTCGGTCCGAGCATGAACAACCTGACGTGACCGAGTCTCGTTGGTCGGGAATATGTCACACCAATCCAGAAGACCTTTAGGCTTAAACCTTTCATATATATCATATACGACATCTGTTGACAAAATCCGATATGGACGTATCCAACAAAGCAGACTAAGTCTACAAAAAATACCTAATTATTTAAACATATTTAAACAGCCTGACATAATTTCTTGAAAGCATTGGAGGACTGGAACGCACCTTTTCCGGGGCTCCACGCTTGGAAGAGTATGGTACGCTGTGCCAGGTACCTCACACACCTTCTCCTCATTGATGAACATGATCATGCCCTAGGCAGGTCAAGACACAGAAAAACATCCAAATCCTAAGAGGCGAACGTGGTTGAAAGGAAAGTTGAAAGTTTGCTGCCCTCCAAAAAGGTAAGCTTCCTCTTGTCTTGATGTTCCTTGCATTTCTGAAGGGTTCGTTGAAAACGAATATGTCCTTTTGGGAATAATAGAGGGGTACCAGCCAAATACTTGTTGGTTGTTCACTTGGGGGTATATTGTCCTCTCTATTTCATCAACCAACCAAAATAATGTCGCATCCAAATTAGTATACAGTAATGGGACGGAATACGAAAAAACATGTTCACCCAGGGTGTTTTAAGGAAATCTTGATTTGTCTACTACTACTACGACGACGACTACTACTACTACTACGACTACTACTACGACTACTACTACGACTACTACTACTACTACTACTACTGCCACCACCACCACCACGACTACGACTACGACTACTACTACTACTACCACTACTACTTCTTCTACTACTACTGCTACTGAGTTTTGCCTGTTTCTTGGAACTCTGACCTGAAACCTGTTTAAACGCATCTTATTATCAACTAGAACTCATTGATTTCATTGCCCCAAACAATCTTTCAAGGGGGTAGTACACTAGCCCCGGGTAAGTGAATAACACAAATTGTTTAGTGGGTGGGATTGATAAGTAAACTTGAAGCCCAGGAAAAAGATTGAAAAGTACTGTTTGCTCTCTTATTCCTTTTAAGATGTTTGCTTAACTCTTCTAAAATTTGCTTGATTCACGGAACTCTGAACTGGAAACTTTCTTTTGAACCCCTTATTAAAACGCATCAATTTCATTGCCCCAAACAATGTTTTAGAGGGGGTAGTACACAAGCCTCGGGTAAGTGAATAATACGAGTTGTTTCGGGGGTGGGGTTAATAAGTAATTGTGGAGCGCTGGGAAGAATATATACAACTGCTTTTATATTGCTCTGCTACTGCTGCCCCTATTACTGCTACTACTACTACTGCTACTACTACTACCACCATGAATCATTACTTTTGGCGGTAAGGTTTCTAATCTAACTCTCTCGATTGTTTGCTAGAGGGGTGGACGGGTTATGCTAATTAAGATCCAACAGTACTTTAAAAATCTTTAAAAACCATCTGTGCTCAGCACACGGTGGCTCTGATTCTGGCCATCCTGGACGATTCTTGTGCCATCCGTGCTACCTGTGCACCTGCCCTGAAAAATCCAGCACCGTTTGTTTTGCATGAACGACACTCCCTGCCCCCACGATAGAGCCCTGGATCCATGGAACCCACGGTCTCACTTGTCCTATCTCTGGGATACGGTGCCAATCTCTAGATCATAGTAGGAGCAGGATGGAGCAGGTGTGCATTACTATCTTACTTACTCATCATTAGGAGACAAGTGGAAGCCACATGTACAAATGTTCCAAGTGCTCCGACACCCCACTTCACCTGTGGAAGTTGTTGCTGTACGAAGAAGTATATCTACCAAATAAATACATGTACAGTAAGTCCATTCTGCAAATTTAAAATTTCTTGGTGCTGACAAAAGGGGTGTTGAAACAATTTAAAACACTGTTATATAGTTAACATCACTTGAGTTTCAACAGCTGCCAGGTGTCGGTCCGCTACAGTCCGCTACAGCACCCTCTCAGTCCACAAAAAATGCTCTTCCCATGGAACCCACCCCACCAAAAAACGCAGGCCCAGCACTGTCCAAAACTGTGGGTTTGGAGCCCGGCAAACGGGCTGAATCCCTGGGTGTCCCATGCACCGTCGGAGTGTTCGATCTTGCCCTTGGAGTTCTCCACCCCAGAGGCCTGACATGCAGAGCACCGAGTCGAAACGAGTCGAACGAGACACGCGAGGCTAGACACCTTCTTCACGCGATGGAGGGAAAACACACTGAAGATCGGGCGCTTGGATAGATGGGTTGCTTCAACAGGATGTTCCAGAAAATTAGGTTCGAGTATGTGTGTGTGTTTGTCGTTTTTAGGCTCTCCACGTTGTATTACCCTTTTGCATGTGTGCACCTGCATTAAAAAAACATTGTAATATAGCTTGGATGTGGCAATGTAAACTGAAACCCTATGCTTGTGGGATGCTGTGGGTCAAAGCCAGGAGACCTTGGTTGACCTACCGGTGGCACTCGCGAGTTCGATCGGTTCCCTCGGTCCTTCAACTCAGGTCGGGTACCAGGGAGTGTGGTTGACCTACCTGGAAGATTAGGTATACCTAGAAGCACCTGGGGCAAAAGTTTCTGCCTCAGTCCGATTCGCCCGGAGGATGCGCGGATTTAGTGGAAATCCGCACCAGGTAGGAATTTCCGCGGCCAGCAGGGAATTTTCGCCTCAGGCAAATTCCAACATAGCCTTTCAAAAACAATCACCACTGCCTAACACTGACCAGGTTGTCTCTTCCATGATTGCAGACCACATATCGTTCTGCAAGGACATAGTTTCACATCTCAAGATCTCACATCCTGCAAACTCATGACCTTCACAAAGAGGCTGCAACATATGTTCAAGCCCTTCAAAGGCACTGTTCTTGAATCCCGCCTTCTGCCAGGAAATTTTTGCCGTTTTCCTGGGCATTTCCACCTTCTTCCCGGGTATGTCCACCTTTGTCCCCGGGTATTTCCGCCTCTTCCCCGGGCATTTTCGCGCCAGGTGTTATCAACTTTGGGCTGGCTTTACTCCGTGTGTGCTCATTCTACACAAGAAACCTTCAAAAACAAAGACACATATATGAGTGGTCAGATTTGCAGGTGGAGGTGGAAACTTAGGCGCCGCCATTCTTTTTTTCCTCATTGAAGTTACCTTTCCAGGCAGAAATGCCCAATGTAAACCACACAAAATATTCAACTCCTCTAGAATATATAATATAGTCTTTGTCTCACTAGATTCCTGAAAGCTCTTCCCGAAAAAGGCAATAATTTCTGTCGAAAGGAATTCTAGGTATATCTGGGTATCAGGTTTCGATCATTTTCGACCCATCCCCTGGAAATCCTGGAGCGAATGAGGTGGCCTTTAGCTTCACTTTGGTCCATTGATGCAAAGGCAGCTCCTTCCTTAGTGCCACGAAGGTGAAGAATTGAAAGGATGATTCCAAGGCGGACGAGGGGGACGAGTGGTCGTGGACAGTGCTGTGCCGAATGTCAGGTGAAGGCATAAGGATCATCAACATACAAGTAGGAACATCAGTATTTTGTTTCCTGGCTCAACTAGAATATCGGACATTCCTATAATTAGCCCGGAGGGACATCTTGAACACCTTGGGGTGAACATGTCCTGTCCGCGTGTTCTGCCTGAGTTCAATTTTTCGAATTAACCGGCCAAATATGCCCAAATCAATACAAAAAAAAAAAACTGCATAAATACTCATAAATCGCTAAAAGTAAAACACACACAGCAACCACTCTCAAACAGGTTCAATGATCAAACTATATATATATATATGAGATTCGATTCGCATCGGTCGCATTTCTGCGTGGTAGCTGCGTGCCACACTGGCACTGTGGGGCTCTGACTGTCCGTTGCAAGTGTCTCAAGGGCCTCTACGCGTTCTGGACGTGGTGGTTCCAAGTATTCATTCTTGGCGAATGCATTTTGCATGTCCTCTGGCTTTTCTACGCTACAAAGCAAAAAAATGTGGTTTCCAAGCCTAATCTCATGCACTATGACTGCCCGTGGCCTGAGAGGACTATTGCAATCAACTCAGCTCATCAACCTGTCAGTGTACGCCTTGCTCTCCGCGCAGCCAAGCGGCGGAGCGGAACAATGCTGGAGTTTGCTATAGGACCTGGCGTCCACTGGACAACGTCCGTTTCAACCGTCTACTCCGATCACATTGACTGTTCAAACATCCGCCTGTTCCTGTGGATAAGGTCAACGTCAAAAGTGAGAAAACAGTTCATGTCGTTGAAAAATGTTCACATTGATGTCCCAGACTACATGATTCTCCTCGGTTCTGATCTAGTTCCCTTTCGCGCCTTCGGTCCAAGGTCTCGTTCTGGCCAAGTGCGTCCATGGTAATGTGCAACATGGTTCTGGCGGATTTCGACAGATTCGACCAATTTGTATCAGCAACTTGACATGAAAACTCCGGCAACAAAACTGATTGAGCAACCAAAAAGGCTTCAACTGCAGATCATCAGATGGTCCAGTCTATTCGCAATCTCAGAGTGCACTTGATCCTGGATCAAATGTCTAAACATCCGAGGGTGCTGGGGATCTGGCCTGGCCCGGTTTGTGGCTTGGAACATCTTTCCATCTGTTCAAGTCTAGAAATAGTGCTAAAAATGACTTATTTACAATCAAATCAAAAAAAACTATTGCTTTTGAGGTGTCTACCCAGAATCAAAATCTGCATGGAGATCAGAAATTGGATTCTAAAAATCCAAGCAACTCTGAGATGCTCCGGGAACATTTTTCCGTTGCTGCAATGCCGATGTACGCAGCCAAGCCCCCCTCTGATGTATGCCAGTTCCACGGGTCGATGGATTCAGTTCCACGGTGTCCTATGTTTCCTGGTCCTTGATTCATCAACAGCACCTGTCGTAAGGTGCGTCAACATGAGGTGCTTCTCTCACTTTGCGTTGAAACCTTCTTCTGTCCCCAAAAAGTGTTGGCCTTGCAGCCTTGCAGAAACACGTCCCACCCTCTCTTTGACAAAAAGCCACAGCAATGATCCCTGGAGCTTAAGCCATCGCCAGGTCGACGTGCCATTGGCAAAGTACGCAAAGGGTATTCCTGGCGAAGCCAGGAAGCAGGGCAGGGCTGCTGGCGTGCTGGCGTGCAGTTTCTCACTTTTGTTGAAACCTTCAATTGTAGGCTAACGCCTCCCACCCTCAAACAGCTTGTAATTATATGTAATTATACTTCACCGTTGTAATGAAAAAGTAGCCTTGAGGCCAAATGTTGGTGACAAAAGCTAGCAGGGCGAAGAGCGACCAGGGAGAATAAAAACAGGGGGACCATGCCACTTTGGAAACTTCACGTGGAAGGCATACCCAACAACTTGCCCAAAGCACCGGCAACTTGCTATAGCTGATGTTAGCATATTCGTTATACAGTAGTATACTCTAAGAATCTCTTTATGAGGATTCGAACTGCTCTAGTATCCTGGCCCTCTACTGGCTGCAGCAACGAATTCGCCCAAAGGACTCAACCCACCCCCCAAACCAACGTCAGTAACCGAACCCTCGGAACCGGAACTGTGGCACATCTGTGGCACGAACCCTAAGCGTGGCGGCATCGCGGTTGCCGACCTGCCAAGTTGGTCGAGTTTCGACCCGCCATCGGCTGAACGGTAAGGACACCTATGCTGGGATCCAATCACAGACACGACGCGACATAAGTGGGAAGCACGTTGTGAGGAGATGATAGGAGATGTTCTGAGCATCGCTCTGCATGATGAGCCAGCAGTTCTAAAAGGGGTTTGTGTCAAGACGCGAAGTGAACCACCCCCTGGAGGTATCCCTGAGGGATTCTTGTGATAAAAAACCCCTCAAGAAATCCCTGAGGCATTCTTATGATAGGTCAGGTTCTCGTCGTATCCTGTTCTTGGTTGTTCTTACTGTGTTCCACACTGTATCACACAGCCATCTCACTGCCCGATTGCCCCGCCATCGGGGCCTTGCAACAGTCCCCGTTACCGGAGCCATCAGTGATGTGCAGGATGGAGGTGCCACCTCGGGTGGAATCCGCGATGGCTTGGATTGAGCATGCAAGGGTCTGGATAAGGATTGGATATCCTTGATATCTCTGAAGGCTAGGTTTAGGTTGCGGTTTCATATTCTAGATCATGAATCGATAAATCCGGGCTCAAAGTCAGTAGTAATTACAACTTGGCCATCCACCATGCGGAATTGCCCCATCCACCATGTGAGCTTGCCAAACTTCCACACTTGAAACCCTTTCCGTGAGGTCTCTCCAGGTATATCTCCAGGCTGCGAGGAGAATTGGACCATACAGCCATTGGCCCGAATTGACCCACATACCGCCTCAACCAGCCACACATGAAAAGCACCATCTGTGCTTGCCTAGTCTAATAAAACCAGCTACTAGAAACTAGAAACCATCAAAAACAGATCACACCGAGCCACGTCCACAGCCCCATGACAACGCCACGTTTCGCCCGGACAGGTTTGGGCATCCGGACAGGTGTAGAGAGTGGAGCAGTTGGAGCCCGGCGGATAGCTCACAGGTTGGGACCTTGGGATAGTGCCGAACCATGGGTGCCGCCACGAGTTCCAACACGAACGAAGCATACAGCTCCTATCTCTCGTGGAAATCCCACATGCTACTTGTTACTTGTTTCAGGATGACAACACTTTTGTTGTACATTACAGTGTTGATGGATCAGCTATGACTTCAAGCGCAAGAGCCCGGTTATTTGGAGCCACCAACTGTGGCCTGAATCGCCAACTAACTTGATGGGGGAAGCTTAAAGGAATCATAAGTTCTAAGACCTAGTGGACAACATGGCAGACCGGGTGGAACATCTCTCTGGCCCGTGGCCCAAGCAGCAAAGCAAACGTCCTTGTTTTCCAATGTGGCTTTTCAAAAGTCCAGATTTCGCAATGGGCCGAATTGCCGTAAGCCTAGCCTGGCAGCGGGTAGTGCTCGAATTTGTATGAATGGCCATTCATACAGAGTTGAGCACTACCCGCTGCCAGGCTATTGAAAGTTGAGACCCAGCAGCCAGTCGCCCATCGCCACCTATCCCTCTAGGACTCGGATGGCCATTCAGGGAGACCTTTTGGTAGGCCATCCGAGGAAGTCTCGACACCCTCTGTGGCTCGTTTCGGGCCGCTTGTGGGTCGTGGCTTGTCTGGTTTGTGGTCCGAGGACCTGCGCCTCCTTTGCAGCACCAACGCGCGACAGTCGCCAAGATTGGCCACCACGAGCTGAACCCCGTCGCGAAGAGCAACGCATCCGAGTTTTCAGTGCTTCCCTGACCCTTCCTGTTGCAGGTGCTGCTACAAAGGCTGGTCGGCCTGTTCCAACGCTCGCTTCAGCCTCGTGTCAAACGTCTGGATCCCTCTCTTCGCCCAGGACTTTGGGAAATTCTTGATGAAGGTGACAGCTTCTGCGCCGCCATGGCCATCATAAACGGCCCATGTGCCGGTCGCATCGGTCGCATTCTCACGGACCAGAGCTGGTCACCTCCACTGCCATCGGTCGCACCAGCTCTTTGTCGTCTTTGCCTCGCCCCAAGCATGGGCACAGGTTGGCTCTCATGGCCAAAGGGAAAGGCACCACATGGATCCAAATGGTGTTTTCTGTCTCTTCCGATTGATCTTATCATGGGACATCTGCGCTTTTCGCGCGGGGTCGTTGCGGGCAGCTAGTAGATTGAAGATGATGTTCGAAAGACCTTGACTCACTTGACCAAAACAACTGATTTGGTCCGACCCGGTGCAATGTCACCATGTGTGCAATCTCTCGGAAACAATAGGCTGAGGTTCGGTACCTTGTCCGAGATTATTCATGGTCCGAGTTTCATCTACCGGATGATTTGCCATTTGAAGTTTTTGCCTTGGCCTTTGAAAGTTGAAAGCGTCAGGGATGGGGCACGGTTCTATTCAAACCAGAATTCCACTTATATAGACAATCTTAACGGCAAGTGCCACTCAGGCTAGACATGCTTGCGATGTGGCTTTCTTTTTCAGAAAATAGCCGTGGACCTTAATGGTCGCGCCCAAAGATTGTATCACATTTTCTCCAAGCGACCTCAAAAACCCTCAGCACGACATCAAAAGCCAAGCCTTCAACTGACCTCAAATCTACACAAAGGGGGGACATAGTGCCCGGAGTGCCAAAACAGGGTCAAAGCTCGTACCAGTACGGTGTCACACATCTAAGGGCAGGCTTGACTTGGGCATGCTCGTTTCCAATCGAGAGATGAGAGGGGCGAGGTCAACACGGATAGATCTCGCCCAGATTCTGTTCGAATCGACCGCAGCGTAAACTTCGACCTGTGGTTTGTGGGGGTCGTTACTCAAGGTGCCAATCTGGGCTCCCCTGCGGGTTGAGGTAAAAGGATAGTTCAAAGGTGCTGTACCTTGCGTCCGCAAAGCATGCGCACATTGCCCCCACACATGAAGGACTTGAGTGGAAACGTCAAAAAAAAGAAAACCTTGTGGAATGCACCTCCAACTAGTGGGAGCCACCGCAGCCTCTTCCTTTTTTTCTGCGAAGTGTTCAGACAACCTCTACAGGTCCTCAAGCTCTTCTGACTACCTGGTGCGATTTGCCCTGTCAATGCAGCCATGATCGTCCAAACCTTCAACCTGCCCAGCGCACGTGTTCACCCTAAAGACCGGCGGATGACCGGATGCGCCACCCACCGCGATGGGATCGTCAAAGATGACCTGCACCAAACAAGCAAGCAGCGGGTGACAACTGCACAAGAACACCCGGCATAGTGCTCCAACTGCATATGGCAAGAAGAAGTAAACAGTTAATTACCTTGAAAGCTGCCCGGCTTTGTTTCATGTTGAGACCGAGTTCTACTACAAGATCGATCAAGATCCGTCGGTAGACCCCCGTCAGGTGGTCGCCAACGACGACTTGAAGCCGGGGGTCCAGGAAGACCAGAAGTGAACTTACCGAAGTGCTACCCTCCACGGACCTGCCAACCTCAACTGGTTTCCCCAGCTCCACTATCACTTCAGCAGCAAATGCTTTCGCTCGAGCCAGCCCGCAGGCACCAGTGCATGATCAATGATGTCCAACTGGGGGGTACCAAATGACTCAAAGTTCGAGCATTTTTTGGTCCCCTTGTTGCTCATCTCCCAGCCTGTTGCTCTTGGGACAATTGGTAGAGGAAAATGTCGAAAATCCCGCCGAAGCACATGGTGTACCTCGTCGGCCGGATCCTTGCTCCCAAGGTGTGAACCTTCCAACCTGCCTTGGCGGACTGGGAGCGATGCAACATCATATCTAGGACCTGCCGACCTGCCAAACAGAGCTCTTAGATGCTTTTCGCATATCTCGTGCCTCACGGCGGCTCTCAAAATAGGTCAAACTGTGTCAAAATGGTCATTTCCGGGTTGTGCTACGTAGACTTGTTGGACTCATGAGCCACCTTTTTTTGGGTGGGGGTCACTTTGAAAGAAAACATGAGAAAACCAAAGCTGGAGAACTGCACAAGGTGGCCCCAGCGACAAAATCCCAACCCACCAAGTCCTGGTGATCCAAGAGAGAGGGGGGGTCGCTCCAAAATAGGTAAACCTAGATTAACCGAACATGCTTAGCGGGGGAGTTTTCTCAACCCTCTTTTGATCGATCTACACTTGTTCGGCTTGCAGAACTGCTTGACAAATGGACTGAGGTCAATGTTCCACAAACAAGGCATTGAACTCACAATCCCCTAACAGTGGACATGGAAACCGGCTCCTGGATCTCCTTTGATAACGGTTTCTTGATGATTCTCCAACTCTCCCCGTGATAGGGAAAAAAAGAACAGAAAAGAACTCCCGCATCTCACGAACCCAAACCATCCCACCAAACCCGCCCCCGAAAAAACCACGGTGCAAAGCACGTGACGTCAACCACGTAGGGGGGGGGGCACATGGTCATGTGAAGGAAGTTAGACAAATAGACCAACTTCTCATTCCGCTTCCACACGCCCTCTCGAGACCTTGGCTCCCGGGGAAACACCGGGACCGGTCGAGACCTCGGTCGGCTTGGCCGTCTCAAAGGTCCAAGTCTATATATGCATATATGTCTATTTAAAAGAAAAGTCGAAGCTGTCTGGTTGTGGATTGTCTACTGTCTACATGTTATCCTTGTATAGATATAACATCATAGCCTATTAGTAAAAGGATATACATGTTATAAGCTCTGTAGATATCCTCAGGATTCCTCAGGCTCTGTAGATATCCTCAGGATTCCTTTGGTGAAAACACCCAGCCGCCCAAACACTCACCCGGTCTCACATCTGGGAGGCCCTGCACTGGATCCTGAGTCCGGGATCCAGCGGATGTTCTTGGGCCACCCACGGAACTCACCAAGATAGAAATCCCAAGTGGATCAATTCACTCAACTGCAATGAATTCACCCGTACCAACAAGACTGTGGATACATTGTCGATTGGGATACAATCTTGACCTCTCCTCGTCAGCTGTTTCGAAGAGTTTCTACGGACGTCTTTGCTGAGTATGGCCAATGAGGAAGGAAGAACACTGACTGTTACATGATCTCCTACGTAGCCATTTCTGAGAGTCGTCCCTCGAAATTCACCCGAAAAATTATCGAGTCGTGAAGCCCCTGGAATCTTGATCTTGAGGCACAAATGAATGGGTTTGAACAAACAACCTTCATCCTGCCTTGGAAGGATTGGTTGAGTATAAGACGGTATAAACTATACAATATGGTACAATTCAAAGATCTCCACTCCGCAATCCGCTTCCAAATGGGAACGTAGATGAACATATATATAGAGAAAGTTGCCGCTTCTACAACCATCTTGGGCGTGCTGCTCTTGCCCCCTCACCACGACCACCCTACCGGTCTCCCCGACGACCGGTGGTCCTCCTGATCCTCCATAACCGATGGAGCAATGTCACGGTGCGATCCATGGCATCGCGGTGGATCGGACGGACGTTCGGTGGATGCTGTCACTTCTCTGTCGGTGGATGCTGTCGGTGTATGGAATCGGTGGACCAGCGGCACCATGGCGAGGGGAGAGGTGTTGGCTTGGGTGCATGGCTTTGCTGGGTTTTTGATTCAATTTGTGCACCTTTGGTGCGTGAGACTTTGCAGGCTAGATTGCTTTTGACATGTCTGCGAATTGACGCTCGGCAACCATTCCTAGAGTGCCTAGCCATGTTTTTTCCAAGCGTGTACAGACACTAACTAACAGCCTTTAGAGCCACGAGGCGTTATTGTGACGGCAATCATATGGGTTGACACCAAAGAACTGTTCACGTACCCGCGGCGTTACATGAGGCATTTCAGAGTCGCCGAATCCAATGGCAGCAATGATCCAGTCTCCTCTTCTTTGCACAAGAGATCGTGCTTTTCAAACACTTGAAAGAAAGAACATAATCAATGATATATATATATTTTCCAACATGTTGCCAGTTGAAATGCCCTGCTAACTTGCTAAAATATCAAAAATATTGCCATCGAAATATATTTGCGCATGAGTCTCAAGCGTCGATGTCATCACAACCAATTGCACAGTAGCAAACACACAACCACTGCCATCAAAAGAAAAACAATATGAACTGCAACGAAGGGTGGCAAATGAAATCACCGCACATCTTGGGGGATTAGGGTTGGAACAAAGAAAGTTGGACAAAAGTCTCATATCACATGGTGTAGGGCATGATATACATGTATAAAATCAATTGTCAAACAATGTCAAACATGTTAAATACTGCTTCAAAATTGGAACATGTTGGAACCAGGTGCCATCCAAAAAGACATGCATACACAACTCAAACAAATCTGCAGGATTGCGCAAGGCGGCTCGAAAATCAACCTAAGCAGAAACTGAATCTCAGCATTGCTCAAAACCTATCGAGAATTTGTTCTAACGGACTCTTCTTTCACAATTTCCTTTCGCAACGCTTTCGCCGCTTGCATTTTGGCTTTTGCACGCTGCATTCTGTGCAAAAGCACTTTCGCAAGCTTTCGCGGAGGAACTGATTTCACAAGTGTTTGCCAATTTCCGGAGATTTCGCAAGCTTTTGCCTGCACCGTCGTCTAACGGGGAAATATCGCATTGACCATAGGAATTAGTTCCGACAGCATCAGCGTGGCCATCACTTCGGAGAAGCACTGTGAAGTTATTACCCGCAGAAACCTGGGTGTATGTTACACCCTGATCCAAAGGTGGAGTGTTGCACTGAAAGAAAACCTTGGCTCCGCAAGCGACTGCACACCCATCACTTCGGAGAAGCACAGAACGATTCTGACCTGCAGAAACCATGTCCCGGGATGTCGCTGGGAGCCATGAATTCAAATCACAGCAACAAAAATCCCTTGAGCCACTACCCGACCCTCATCGCTCATATCAACATGTGAGGGCGGCCTATGTAACCTGTCTATATCTCTTTCTACGAGAACTTTCACTGAAACAAAGGTGCCTCCCAACGCATCAATTGTGATTCTGTTCTTTGCTCGATGGTTCGCTTCTTTGAATTTAAGATTGACCCAGAAAAATGTTGGCCATAGAAGTTTTAGTTCGTTCACCAACCAAGATTTGATGAGTATAGGAAATTGTGAGGGAAGAGTGAACCGCGGCAAGAGATCGTTGAGATGGGCCATCCATTTGTGAACCCCCTTATCCCCAAAAGTCATGGCACGAGACCGCCCCGCACGAGATCAAGACGGCTAGGCACTCCCTCCCCAAGCCACAGGATCCTCCTCCAGCAGTCTGGTTGTGCCCAATGTTGATAGTCTCTGAGGATTTGTAGGCCCAAAGAAAGCAACCGCGCTAGGAGAACGCAAGGATTTGTCTCTGAGAGAGGGGAGACTCGCGTGGAGGGGCCACCAGATCGGCCTACATCTTCGTTCCTACTAAGACGATCAAAGACTCAAAGACTTAATGTTCATTGCTTGGTGTTGCTCATGCCAGCTAGAACGACCCCGTGGGATTTTTGCATTTTTGGTTATACTACTGTCTAATGACTTAGGCCAACGTGATGCAAGTGACATACCAATCTGGCTACCCCCAGGGCTAAGTCATGTGCCCTGACATATCGAGCAAAACACATGTCTGGGTTGGGAAACCTGGTGTCATAGGACCTGTGGACACCTCCTCGACAAAAAAAGTAAAAAAACAGCTAAACAATGCTAGATACCACTGCCTGGCACCCTGGTGACACAGTGGTGACATAGGGTGCGACTATGTGTTTTTGTGGACGCTGCTTCCTTGAATACCTCATACATATTTCTATGAATATCATGGTTGTGGCCTGATGACATAGGCCTTAAGAGGAAATGCCAATGTTGGATCAATCCTGATGACATAGGCTTTTGGACTTGGCGTGTATGTCCGACAAGTCCTAAGTTACTAGTCAGTAGTATAATAGCTACAACTCTCTCCCCTCCGAGCTCATGCGCATAGTTTCATAATATTTTCCCACGCCTGTCACGTTGCTTTGTAAGTGTGGCTTTGTAGACATAGCGCCCGGAATGCCAAAACAGGGTCAAAGCTCGTACCAGTACGGTGTCACACATCTAAGGGCAGGGTTGACCTGGGCATGCTCGCTTCAAATCGAGAGATGAGAGGGGCGAGGTCAACATGTTGGATAGATCTTAGCTTCATTGGACACAGTCCCAGTGAAATACTGTTTTTCTGCAGGTTTGTACACGGTGACGGATTAAAGGTTACAAGGGGAATGCTACCCAGACGATGTGGTCTTTCTCCTTGGGACAGGAGGTGACACACACAGACACAATCAGCCGAATCGGCGCTCCCTTGACTGAAAAAGTTAACCTGTCACCTAAGCCTAAAAAGCCTCTAGCAACGAACGAAAATCTGGAAAGAAACGAAAGAGCCCTGGAAGGAGAGAAAGCACGACCGTGCATGAAGTACTCGGTGTGAAGCGTACAAGTGACTCCTTAGCAGCACGACATGAAAAAGACCTGAGTTACTCAAAAAAGCCTCTAGCAACGAAAGAAAACCTAGAAAATGAAGAGAAACAGCAAGACAGAAAGAAAGACAACATCAAAGTGAATACTTAGCCGCATGAGTGATATCTTAGCCGCGTGACATGTCAATCTACAGAGTGATCACTTAGTCGCATGGTATGTCATTCTATGAGTTGTGGGCAGCAAGCTCTGCAGCATTTGGTCAGCAATCTCAAACAGTCAGCTACTCAGGGATGTGTCAAGCAAGACGAGTGATCACTGACAATTCCCCCTTGAGGGTCTAGGCTCAACAGGCCCTGTAGGGACCACACAACAGACCACAGTGGGACCCGGCGAAACGATCCATGCTTGCAAGAGCTCTATCATTATAAAAAACTTTCATATGGTAAGGCCAGAATCCTTGATTTAAAAAAAAGTCAAAAAAAAGTCAACTGGAAAAGTCAAAGTCAAAAAAATCAAATTGAAAAGTTAAAAAAAAATACAAAAAAAGTCAAACAAAAGTTCAAAAAACAATAAAAAGAAACAAAAATGTCCAGTCAAGCGACTCAGGAGCAAAAGAAAGCCGGCATATATATATATGGAAAACACAGGCAAAGAGGACAACAACATTGAACTAAACTAGTAACAAGCTCATAAGTCAGCCAAGGCAAATTGCACCCTTTTTGCTTATGGCTTATGGCTTTCAGTCTATTAAAAATTCTAGAACCTTTTTTGGTTGTTCAACTTTCACCTTTTCCAGCCCCAAGCCAGCCCCAACCCCCTACCCCAGAGTCGCAGGACCCCTACCCAGCCCCAGCCACTGTCCCAGGGTCTCTTCAGCCCCAAGCCAGCCCTATCCCTGGTGGCCCTGGTAGCCACCCCAGAGTCCCAAGTACCCAGCCCTGTCCGGCCCCAGAGTCGCGAGCAGAATTGACTTTTTTTCGACTTTTTGTTGCCTCCAGTAATCCGCCAAGGCTGGGATCCGCGCTTGGTTTTCACATTTGACTTTTTTTGACTTGTTTTCGACTTTTTTTGACTTTTTTTTGCTTTTTTCCACTTTTGACTTTTTTTTGACTTTTTGTTGCCTCCAGCAATCTGCCAAGGCTAGGATCCGCACATTTGACTTTTTTTGACTTTTTTGACTTTATTTTTGACTTTTCCAATTGACTTTTTTTTGACCTTTTTTTGCCGGCCCAACCCCGCATGCCCCAGCCCGCCTGTAGCCTGCCTGAGCTCGACCTCAACCTGACCCCTCCGCCAGGAGCCAGCCGCAGCCAGCCCAAAGCCTGGCCCTGGCAGCAACCTGCCCCAAAATTTGAGCAGCAGCTGGCTTGGGGCTGAAGAGACCCTGGGACAGCGGCTGGGGCTGGGTAGGGATCCGGCTGGCTTGGGGCTGGAAAAGGTGAAAGTTGAACAACCAAAAAGGTTCTAGAATTTTTAATAGACTGAAAGCCAGCCACAAGCAAAAAAGGCTGCAATTTGCCTTGTTACAAGCGTTTCCTTGACTTGTTTACCTATGCAAAGTTTATGTTTGACTTTTTTTTGACTTTTTGTTGACTGTTGACTTTTGTTGACTTGTTTTGCCTTTTTTTGACTTTTCAATTTGACTTTTTTTGACTTTGACTTTTGGGATTGACTTTTTTTGACTTGTTTTTGATGTTTTTTTTAAAATTTTGAAAACGGGTTCTTTCCAATGAGTTTTTTTTTTATAACTCTATCAGTTTGAGAATTCCCGGAAGCTAGGGGTGCGTAGCTCCACCCTTTTGGAGGGTCGAGGCCAGGGCCCTTGCGACCGAGGCACTGCGCAGCATCGGCATCTCCAGCTTGAATCCTACCAAGTCTTGATAATCCGATACAGAGGGGGCGGGCTCGCTCCAAGAGATGTCAACCTGGATATCTGATGATTCACGGAATATACCGAAGTTCGATCTCCCTCTTTTGATCGATCTATATCCAGCTTGGATCGATCGAGTGCCCTCCAAACAAAGGCATTCGAGGTTCGGACTGAAGTCAATGTTCCACAAAGGCATTGAATCTTGGTCCAACTTAGTGACTAAGGTCAAAGGAAAGGAGTCAAGTAGAAAGGACGAAAACCAACCCTTGTGGAAGTCTCCCTCTCATGTTTCTTTCAAACCTTGAGGAATGATCCATCACATGTTCCTGTTCTTGTCGGGTTTCCGCACTTCTCGCACCACCTGGACGGTAAACCTCCTTGCCCTCGGCACCTTGCAGCAGTCATTGGAGGTACAACCTTTGGAGTGAAGCGACAGCTTAGGATTGGTGGTGCAAAGGACTGGAGCAGGAGTGAATCGACGAATGCGGGCTCCGGCTCAGTAATTACATATTGCATTCCCGCTGCTACAAATAAGTCCATTTCGTGGTAACTGGCTGTCATTTCCAAATGATCAGCCGTCAAGATATCAAGAGATATACGGAGGCACTGAGTGTTCAGTAGATGCTCCTGTACCAAAAAAAATGGCCACTCGAGATACCATGGCAAACTATGTTGATTGCCATTGGAACATGCAACTCATGGCAAACTATGTCGACTGCCATTGGCACTGCTAAATGAGATCCAACATACCATGGCAAACCATGTTGATCGCCTATACGAGAAAAGGTTGCCTCACTGCAGCGGAACCTTATGGAAGCTCCTGCTTTGAAAACAAGTATGGCCCCCATTGAGCTATGCAAGGCCCGCTTCACAAAATATCTGTGAACCACATATGGACTGAGGGTCTGCACCAAAGAGTTTGGCAAAGGTGTCATGGAGGTGTATGAGGCCAGCTTGACGCTCGTAGAGACCTGCGATCGTAGAGACCTACCTTGACCAAATGGCATCAGATAGGGAACTATATAACCACTATCATTCCAAAGATTTCTGGAAGGATGCACATATTATGAAGAATGCACTAGAATATATGTACGGGTAAAAAAAGGTTGAACATCCCAGATTCCTGGGCCAAAACCATTCAAGACTTCATGCAAGAAGTCCGCAAGCAAGCATGGTTTCCTTGGCTTTGCAAAAACCGTTCTATAGATAATTTTGGCCAAGTTGGTCAAAAAAGTGTCCTGGTGCTGAGCATGTACGAAGTACGTGCTCTCTTTTTGTGTAGGCGGAGGTCCCGGACCACACTTTGGCCAGGGCTAAGCCATGGGGTACCCAAGCCCTATCCTCCAAGACCCTCCGGTCAAAGATCAACTGCTAACCAGCCCCAAAAGGCAGGACACGATCACAAACAGCGAAAGCCAGTGCAAGCACGAGTTCGATGATGTCCGACTGGAGGGACCCCAAGCTGGCTCCCACTAGACCTGAAATGAATTGGACTGTTCACAATATATTATATATATATGTATATTATATACGTATATATTATAGTATATTTTATATATAATATATTAATATATATATAATATATTAATATATATAATATATACTTGTTCCCTTTGCCCTAATACCCAAGATGCCCTAAGCAGGGTCTGAATGGTATTTGTTGAAAAAAAATTGACCAGTATTGGTCAGGCTGGAACTCATGCCCTTTTGCGAGTTGTTTCACTTCCCAAAATATCGGAGACCGGGGTAGATACCTAACCTGACACCAACTGAATCTTCTCTCAGGGTGTTCTTGAGACGTTCTGAACGGCCAAGGAAAGATCGAAAAGCAGTCCCCGCCGTTCGTCGATTGGCCCAACCTGGTGTACCTGGTCGCAGCCTTCCTCCCTTCCGGGTGTTCCAGTGACCATAGCTGTGTGAGGGGCTGGGGCCCCGGGCCAACCAGCAAACTGGCGCTGATCCGCCCTGCAGATCCACCGGGAGCCGAAGCACCAAAGGTCCAGAGCGTCCAGAGCTGTCCGTCTCATTGCTCCGCCACACATCGACTGCAAAGGCAAGTGAAGCCCCGCGTCTCACGGAGGTGTTGCTGTCGCGAGCGCACGTCCAGCTGGAGAAATCCTTCGCGGGTGACCGGTGGCAAGCAATGTGTCAAGTGGTCAGGGGCCGCAAATGTCATTCATCAGAGTGCTAGGAACACAGAATCTGCACAAGCAAGCAAGTTCATCATATGTTTCATGTACTAACCTTGCATCTACATTCCCTTCTTCTGGGTCTCGGTGTCAGGGGATCACTGTCTGTTTAAGCATCTCTGACTATTCGCTTTTGGCGGCTGGTTCGGAATGAAGTTAGCGGCTGAACCCCCGATTTTGCGGCCTTCACCTGACTCGCTCAAAGCGGCTCCCTTTTTGTCCGACGAAGCATGTTGATCGCGAAATGTGTCCTGGCTGCGCCTGGCTGCGTCCCATGAAACCAACGAGAGTCCGATGTCACTTCGCGAAGGTCGTCGTTCGTCGTCGGTCGGAACTGCGACGCGCCAGCTGCTTGGTGGCACTTCTAAGCCTAGGTTGTTCAATACAGCAAAGAAGGGATCATCATGGATCAACCCTGATCGCTTCACTCTCCAACAAATCATATGTTGGACGAATCCTTGGTCCCCCCTTGTGGTAGCTCCGATCGTCCAACCCCAAAGGCAAGTATCAAGTACATCCCATGGCAAGACCATCCAAAATCCTCCCACCGCTCGCAGTCGGAAACGAGAGGACTCCTTCCCGCTCGTAGTTCCGACAGAGAGCTTCTCCCGGGTGGATCGTTCGAAGAGCTCGCACCAGCACTTCTCCGGTGGAGAACAGAACCCCCACAGCACAGTTGGGCTGGCAAGAATGTTGTAGAAGAGAATGAGTCCTTCGAAGGTTCTTGGTCCGCTCTATATATACATATTTTTTCAGATTCGCATATAGGCCTGTGAATGGCAGGTCAGGTGTCTTGCCTATAAACATGCCGGCATATTGATACGGTTACTACAATAAAATATGCGGATTTTAAAATAGCCGAACAGGTATTTTAGTGTACCTCCGTGAAGGATCTGCTGGGGCCGCCCAGCCATTAAAACATGCGGAAAAAACACGCGGAAAAACACTTTTCCTAAATAATAATTTCACAAAATGGCCCCTTGGCCGGCTTTGACGTGGAGGCCTTCACCGGTCCTACGTGGAGGCCTTGGCCAAGGCCTCCACGTGGGAGCGGGCAAGGCCTCCACATAGGACCGGTGAAGGCCTCCATGTGGGACCGGCCAAGGCCTCCACGTAGGACCGGTGAAGGCCTCCACGTGGGACCGGCCAGTCCCCGGTCCTGTGGAGGCCTTGGCCGGTCCCACGGAGCCCCAACGTGGACTCTCTTACATGGATCCTGCTTATGTGGACCCCCCACGTGGATCCCTCTACGCGGACTTTCTTACGTGGACCCTTCTTATGTGGACCCCCCCCTACATGGTTAGTTTCCAAAACGGCTTTGCCCAAAATGATGCACTCATCGCAATTCCGTGGGGGCCGGCTTCTAAGTCTCCTTTAAGCTCCAACCACACTCAAAGCACAGGGATGTTAAACATGAAGGCGTGTCAATTGCAAAAACTGTGAGAGGTGTCTAGCGCGGAGCCAAGGTCCCCACATAAGGCCCGGCAATCCTGCTGTTTTTTATTGTTGTGAATGATGAAGGAACTGCACATTTAAATATGCGGAGCCGCCCGTCGCCCCCCAAACATACGGACAGAATAGGAATTATACACTACCTCCGGGAGGGTCAACCCTGGGCCGCCCTCCACATATTTTAATGGCGTAACCGTAGTCTATATATTTATAACTATTATAACTAATTATACAGTATCCCTTTCATTACATTATGAACTAGATCACACCACCAGCATCTTCAACGGAAGTCGGAGCATTTCGAGCCTACATGAGTGGAAAAACAGGTCATAGAGCCGACGCGGACTGCAACCGGTGCACGGTCCGATTGAACTCTTCAAACATCAACGTCACAAATTCCTCATGTCCGGTCCTGTAGATGCCAGATGCTGGCGGAACTGAGAGTTGCTGACAATTGCACTCCCTGGGACAAACCCCAGTGAAGCATCAGTCTGGACATGGTCCATGAAGCATGTCCAGGATCCCTTTGATCTCCGAGTTCCGAACGAAGTTACTGTCCACCCTCAAAATTGCAGGGTCAAAATGAAGGAGCTGAATCCCGGTCCTTTTCAATTGGATACAATTGGTGGTATTCTTTCTGGCGCCAATGTTGCAGGTGCACAAGACCCTAAGGTCATCACGTGATCCTCTGGCAATCTGTCCTTCTAAGGTGTTGTGGCACATCGTTTGCGTGTAGGCACAGGAAAGATTGCCACTCTTTGCAAGGTGTTGGTACTGGATTCGCTTCTATAACCTGGGGAAAAAGAGCGAGCTTGTTCTTCAACCTGCCCTTCCTTTCACCCAGCCAAGGGGCCACCTCGCCAAAACTGCCGTCTCAGGCGACATGGACTGGGAAGGCTGCGAGGTGCAAAGCTCTTCGAAGGCCTGGCCCAGGAGGCAAGGCCTTCCGAACATGTCCCCCGACTGCGTCGCTTTGGATTACCCGGCTGAAAACTGACATGGACCGTGAAACCATGTGAAACCACTGGTTTGTAGAGGAAAACAGTCTTTCAGGGTGCCATTCTCAGGGTCCATGTTAGCTTTCGGGATTGTATATGTTGTTGATGTGTCGGGGGGGATGGGCCACAGTTTGACCAGTGCGTGTGTCAGAAACAGTTTGACCAAAACTGCACAGTTTGACACAGTTTGGTAGGGGAGAATGTCCTTGCTTCTTGGAGGGTTACTATACTTGCAGCATCTTGCTGTCAAAAAAGTGTTGAAGTCACTTCAAAAATAATGGCTGGTCCTCTACCAAAAGAGCAGCTTTGGGATATGATATGACGGACAGGAAGGGGGTGCCAAATCCACACCCATCACTCCTCCTCCACCCCACCTCCAATACCCTCATCATCCCCTTGGCCCTTGCGAAGGCTATCGCCCTTGAGCGTGCTGCCAGCACACCCCGCTGAGCCACCAGGTAGGGTGCCTCTCGAAAAAGTTCGCCCTGGGGAAAGTCCACCTGGCAGCTCATCCACTCAGCAGCTTGCGGATGACAAATGAGTGCGTTTCGTTTTAACATTGTCATGTTATTACATGGACAAATTCCCTGGCTGTAGGAACCTATTGAGGATGATCGTCCTTTAATACCGGCCGGTTATGCTGTCACCCGGAAAAAGGCCCGATCCACACCATAGATTTTGTCCCATCCTCAAATTAAATTATAGTCTTAGACAACAGTCCTTTCAGCCCGTTCCTCTGCTGGCAGACAGATAAATAGACTTGTTGGAATACACAACTGGGCTCATCCAACGAGTTGTGTCACTCAAGGTGGCTTGTTTCATGGCAATGGTGGAACAATTGTCTGTTCACTGGGATGGTGGAACAACACAAGTAAATACCTGCCAATGCAGGTCGACCGGCCATGTTGCCTGAATAGAGCCATCAAACGCGCAAAAACCGATTAAGGCCCGGTTGACTTTAAAGCGCTGGGTTAGTCTCCTTGTCTGGGTAGACACAACAAACATCAACAAACTCCAGCCAAACATGCGGGGTTGCCTTAGTCATCTTGAATCATAAGCAGCAGCTAAGTTGTTGCAGAAAACTGACCATCAACCCATTGGTTTGGCAGTCCAGCAGAGCTGAGAAAACGACGGTTGGACGGTGTTTGATCCGGAACTCATGAGGTCACAAAACAGCTCATAAGCTTCAACCATCATCAGTTATATAATGTTGTATCAAATTAGCACGTGATGTCCCCCATAGAACAAGTGACAAGTCAATTCCAAAAATCCCAACGATGTCTGTTCTATGTATCGATACAATGACCAAGGCTCTGAAAGTAAGGTACCACCGCCCTACTGGCAAAGCTTTAAAGGCCATTTCTATTGCACAGATCTCTAGCACTCACCAGACTCACCACAGGCGCCCGACCACCACATCTCACCTGAGCTTCCAGCGCCCGACCACATGGCGTCTGTACCACTTGGAGGCCATCAGGATGCCGCGAGGCCAGGGCATCTGGAGAGACACAGAAGTCCACCTCGAAGCCTCCGCGGCCGAGGAGAGTGCTGCACCCAAGACCTCCCGAGCTCCGCCGACTGGGAGGGGAGACTGGTCTGGGCTTGATGTTTCGTAGGTGTTTGAAGAACTTGAGGCTTGTAAGGACAAGAAAAATACTGGGAGGGGAGACAGGTCTTGAGAGACTGGTCTCGCTTGTGAACCAAGGCGCCCGGAGGCAGCCCCGCTTGGTGTTTTGAGGCGCCGCGGCGCCTCCGGTGTTTCGGGTCGAGAGTCGGATCCCCACCCAAGTCCAGCGGGATCATGCATCTGAGAAGGTCCTTGGGCATAATGTCAATGACTGGAGGCTCCATCCCTAGGCAAACTGCCCGTTCGGTCAGGGCTGGGGGTCTCCCTATTCATGTACCGTAGTCTAGTCAGTTGGGATCTGATGGAGCTGTAGAGAAGTGCATGGTTGGCTAGTGACTGGACCTCCCCTTCCGTCGACTCGTCTTTTCCAGGATTCATGCTGAGTGAGAGGATTCCAGGTTTTTCCATCCAAAAACCAAGCAACTGGAAGCCACTCGGTGGAAAGTCTTCTCACCGGCACGCAGGAGCCACTGCTTGACGTCTGGATCAAAGTTCAAAACCTGCACGTGCAAACCTTGGTTTGTCGAGCTGGGGGTGCATCAAATTCAATTGGCCAAATTCTCATAGAACAGACTTGTCCAGGACATGAATGTTGAAGACTTCTCCTGTTCTGTTGTTTCAAGTCAAAAACAAGATGGCAATTCGTTTGTTGGGGACATAAGTTTTCAGACATATTCTGCCTGTACAAGCATAAGGGGTGCACTCTGTGGCATCTGTGAGAGAAACGAGTCAAGTCTCTTTTTCCCTGCCATGTTGGTTGACAGAAATTCTGTTTACATGCTGCAAAGGATGTTATCTTCTGTATACTGCCGTTCACCGCAAGCTTGGCAAGCCTAATCCTAGACTCTATAGACATCAGAAAACCATCGTGGGCAAATCAACATCTCACCACCTGCAGGCAAACCATAAATCAAATAGTAAAATACATGAATTCAGCACCTTTGTCAGTTCCACCGGTCCCAAAAAGCAGCTCAGCGACTCTCAGTCTCGTCCTTCATGCGCACCACGCTGCCACGGAAGATCGCAGCCCCGCCGCCGTGGAGCAACAGCGTCCGTTGCCACGAGACAGCGACCGCCAGCAGGAGCGTTGGTCGAAGTGCGTCACGGTGTCGGAGCTGGGCTGGCATGGCACGGAGCCAGGATAACAGTTTAAAAGCATGAACTCCTAACCAAGACTCCTGCATCCAAGACTACTTCTACCCGAAGCATCCCGAGTTCCTCGGTTTGATTCGTTGTAAGACACTGAAGATAATTCTACGATGCACCGATGCACCTCCCTGGCTGGGGCCCCTCGCTGGATGTTGTTAGCTTCGACCCCTTCCAAACCGCTGGCGTCTTCGGTCCCTGCCTGTTGAACCAGAAAACTGTGGGATAGTTATACGTTGAAATACTTCAAAAACCCAGGGTTTTGCGAGTGGAACAGGTGGGATCCTCTTAAAATGGAAAGAAGCATAGTTTTAATCTATTTTACAGTACTGTATATCATTTTACTGCTCTGGTTTGCAACATAGCTCCGCTAGCTATCCGATGATAAAGGCAATGATCCAAGCTGAACTGCATGCCATGCGTGGTTGAAGGAAAACAAAAATCCAGCCAGTCCTCTGTAAGACGTGCGAGCCTCCAGATTACCTGACCACAAGGTGTAGTCTAAACTAATAAACCCCTTGAAAAGAAGACAAAACATGTGAAACACACCCAGTTGTCAAGTTTGATAACCTGTTGGATGGTTGTCATCATTGTCATCCATCATGCATCCTGTACGTTCACACACGTTCACCCAGGTTTGCTCGCACGTCCTTTTTGCGTCACTCGAGTCTCACCGGAGTCGACTGCGGGTGAAGCTACGTTTGAAGCGGTTCCAGCCAACGGCGGAACCCGCCCGCGGGACGGCAGGACAGGGCCGGGACAGTGCTAGTTTGAATTTCTGAGATGGACTGCATCTTGAGTTTTGATGTGGAAAAACTTTTTGGAGTTCACTTGGTGTTCACTTGCAAAAAAGAAAGGGTGATGCATTGGTTGGAGACCGATGGTTCATCTGTCTTCCCGTGCCAACTCTTGAAAAGCCTTTGGTGAGCCTAAAAATTCCGTGGGTACTTCTAAAGATGCAGGGCAAATCCAATACGTCCAGCTAATCCCACCATTTCTAGGGAACCCTGTCTGACAGCTGAAGATTGATTGGCTTTCTACCGAAGATCGGACCGAGATCGGCTCGCTCAGACCGCCGGCCGCGGATGGGAGCTGCACGTGCCTGGCACGGAGCTGCATGCAGACGAGGTCGGTCTAGTCACTAGTCAATGCTTCACAAAACATGTATGGAACATGTACCTACACTCACGCCGAAAGAAGCACCCCAACAAGTCACACTGGTCACAAAATATATTGGAAGGTCACAGGACGGTGCGAACCGCATTTTAGCCCAAATCAGATGCGCCGAAGTCCATGATTGCTCTACCACTGTTCCCTTCCGGATGGGTGTTGATGGGTGTGGCCAGACTTGCGTGGTCTGTTGAGTCTAAGCGCTTGCCGCTTGCCCTCTACAAGAACCGCAAAAGGGGACAGTGTGTAAAATAACATGTGTGTATAGTCAATTCACTAACTAATCAATTATCTACTCTAATAATTTTTAAAATAAGTAATGTGCATATGATAATCCGCCGGCCCTTGGGCGCCGGCGTGTTTGATCAATGTGGCTTGTATGTAGCTTAAGTTATGTTGACTCTATATGTAATAAGAAAAGTGTCTCTGGAGCCAGTTTTTGCCTCGTCTAACTTGACCCCCCCCCTCCCCCCCAAAAAAAACATCCCGAATGTATGTAGCTCACATATATCATAGCTAAAGTGAAAGGTTGTGTGCGCTTCCTTCTTATCGTCGTTCTTCTCTTGTCGTTGTCCATGCATTGCGCTTCTGCTTTGCATGCGTTTTTCTCAGGCTTTGCACCTGCACACACGTATCTATCGTTTTTTGCAGACTCAGACTGCTTGGAAATCCCCATGCCACACATGTCCTCATTACTCTCTTGTATCATGTCTGACGGAATGCTATGTACGTTTGCTGCTTCGCACGGTCTACTTCGCTCATTGTGTCACATGTCATATAATTTGTCTTCTTGCTTGGCAGGCTATACTTTGCATCCCCCAATTTCATCTCCCTGTTCTCTTATTGTATCATAATGCACGTCATTTCATGTAGGCTCCTCTGTTGCTCCAGCTGTGTTCTGGATGATGCTGTTACTTTTTCTGCTCTGTTGCAGTCTTTCCTCTTGACGCAAAAGGTAATCCGCATCTTGGGACCATTGGCTGAAAAGGCCGGCGGAACAACCCGCAGGGTGTAAATATATGTGTGTATACTGCCCCAACAGCTGCGCTTGGATATGTTTGTGGGTCTAATACGATCCAACCACCCCCAGTCATCGAACCGAGTGCCGGGCAGTGCCTCGCTACGCGAGACGAAGCAAGACGTGGACCTGCAATCGTTGTTGCGAAGTGGGCGAAATTGGACGATTCTGGAGCCCCAAATCTGTTAGTGACTTTGTGTGTGTGTCATTGTGTCATCTACGAGAATTTTATAGAATGAACACAGATCATTCACCGGGTGAAGAAAACGGACACCTCACGGAAGAGCTGACACCGAAACACCCGGAGCTTCGGGACGGCGAAAACACACGAAACGGGGCGGGCTCAGCGATGTCCAGCGATGTGGTGTCAACAAAACAGGATTGAAGAAAGGGATGAACATGATGAACATCTTGTGGCCAGAAATAAGGTTCTTATTATGTCATTAATGGTGTCCATATCCAAACTGGATGATATTGAATGTGATGAAGGAAGTGGGGCAACAGAGGTGTTTTGATGGCAAAATCGGTTCCAGCTGAGACCAGCTGAAGCCTGAGTTGGTAGTTGTTGTATTTTGTTGCATCTGTTTAGCCCATGTTCAGCAATGTAACACATCTCCTGATCCGCCGAACCTCGACCTTGATGCACCGCAGTGTTCCGTGGGTGTGTGTTTGAATAGAGAGACAGACACCCTGGCCTCATGGGTAGAGACTGGTAAACTACCGTAAACTGGTCTATGTCCTTCCTCCAAGAGGGTCGCAACTCCTGGGAATCCACACGTCGCAGGAACACGGAACACGCGGCCTCCATCCGGCCCTTTTCGCCCTCTCCCAACCTGGCACCATCCATCCCATGGGACTGGAAGAGGTACATCCGTAGGTAACTCACTAAGGTAACTGACTCTTGCAGTCCCATGGAGTGTCGCATCCTGAAATGGTCTTGGCTTCACTCGAAGTGCCAAAACCTCACTCCACCCGCAGTGTCGCGCAAAAAAGCCTCGCCTCGTTCGACCTCTCGCGCCTCTCGCCTCCCCGAACCCGTGAAAACGGTCCGTCCGAAGTCTCGTCGTCGCTCGTCTGGGGGTCCCGACACCACGCTGGGTGACGATGATGTCGCTGAGACCACCGACCTGAGACGCCCCGGGTCACCGCCGCCGGGACAGACGGACGGCTGCTGCGGTGTTGATGCGGTGACAGCGGAGGGTTGGACAAGGGAGGCGGGACCGGGGTTCTTCAAGCCACACGAAGTTTGCGGAGGGGATGCCTCACCGATCCTCACCGCATGGGATCGTCATGTGGCAGTCTTGGCTCGTGTTCCCCTGGTCTCAAAACAAACACAGCGGCACATGTGGCTCGGTCAGACGGTGCCAACCGGTTTTGCACCGTCAGTCGATCTGATATCGTGACTGAATCGTTCTCATCCGACATGAGTTCGGAACAAAATGAACATCCAACTTTCTGACCGTACATGGCACCTTTTTGCCACAATTACCCTACAATTATCATGTAAAATCACGTCACAATCCCTCTTTCAAAACATGCCAACCTGGTCCTCTCAAACCGAAAAAGAGAGACCTCGCTCGTTTCTGGACGCCCCCCGGCTGGAAGCTCGAATGCCACGGCATCGAACTCCTGTGGAAGACGGGGGCATCGGTGGTCGGGAGGAAGCGGTTGGAGTCCGTCTGTTCCGGCTGAGTGCTTGAGGGATCGACCGGTCGACCTGAACACCCTCCGTTGGCGCGTCCAGACGGCGAGATGTGACATGGTCCGGCGACTCACCTTGAGAAAGTGGCTGTGTTCTGATCGTTGCTCTAGAGTACTCATTGCAACTTGGTGGGGCAATCATTCAATTCTTCGATCTTTGGTTCACCTTAAGCCCATCCATCCTCCATTGCCATGCATCCGACACCATCTTGAGGAGGGGTTCATAATTGGCTAATATGAACGCGGACGGTTGTAGGAACACCAGACGGAACACAATTTCGAACCATTCACTTCAAGACCGCCTTGGAAGGCTGTGGTTAAGCGCATCCAAACTTGCGAATGCCAGCTCTTTTTAAACACATGGCAAAATATAAACGCAATGCACACCATCCATGGGTCACCCGCGGAATCCCCCCGAAGAAGGAAAAGCAAAACGGAAGCTTCTCAGAGCTTCTGCCATGACAAAAAGAGACTCTCTGGAGCTTTGGAGAAGTCCGGAGACTTGGTCCTTCCAGGAGCCCTTCCGGTCCTTCCCATGTTGGCCTTGATTGATCCATCCTGACCGCTTCGACCGGTCCGGTCCGGGCTTTCTTCAGGCATGGGTCGGACATAGAGTCCAGTGTCAAAAAGTATGCCAGGGGGATGAGTGAAGGGTCAAGTCTAAGACATATTTCAGTGTTGTCCAAAATCATATGGATTCTTATTTTGATGAGCTACCGCATATAGCCTTGCATGATATCCGTTTTTCTAGTAGCGCTTAGCACCCCCAAAAACGTCCGTGCGGATCTCACCCGTCCCGTGTTGATGCAAAGGTGCCCAGACCAGACGAATGGGACTCGAAGAGTGACGAACACTTGGCTTACCATCGATTGACCCCATTTGATGACCCTAATGATCCTAATAGTATGTAATTGTTCCATACTATTCCATACATGGAGTGTCTGGGAAATCACCATTGTCATCCATTGTCAAGCATTCCCCCGAATCTTCCTGAAGATGTATATAAGTAGGTCCGTCTGTGAAACATCTGGTCCAATTGTGAGAGACACTTGGGACTTCTTCAGCCTCCGATACTTCCATCTTGCTCCGATA